AAGTATACTGCTACAGAGAACATAATACCTATCCCCTGGAGAAGCTTTGCCTATAGCTTTGCCCTGTCTACACATTTCAGGGAACAGCCTAGGGAATAATACAATCTTTGTGATTATGTATGGGTAGGTGCTTCATTACGTATTTAAAGGATACTAAAAGTATCAGCACTGCTAACAGGAACAGCATTACATATGTAAAGGATACACATCAATAGAGGCATTGTGTGTGAAGGGAGTGGTGTTTTTTGTTTGTTTTTAAATTTTGTAGCATCACATAAAAAACTTGTCCCAATATTGCTTGCCTTTCCCTTTTGCTGTAATGATGGCAATATTTTCCTTGGTTAAACATGCATTCAATATAACTGCTGCTGAAGGAAGTCACAGTAAATTAACAGCTGGCTTGTAAGCCTGGAGTTTTGAAGAGAAAAACGCTCCTTCCTTTTTTAAAAAGCTTTGAAAATTTAGTTTCTCTTCAGTGATTTAATAACAGTGATTGAGATAGGATAAACTGAAATAGATATGAGTTGGATGGAGGAGAGGATAACGTCTGCCAGCATACACTGCTGATTTCTGAAGAAAAGAAGATCATTTCACATTGCAATTCATTTATAAAGATGCCAGAGTACAGGTATTTGGTTGAGGATAAACTAAAACGTTATGAAATTGCTGCTTCCTTCCACTAAAAACAAACTAACAACAACATCCATTTGTTAATGAGTGCTAATAAATGCAAATTTGGTGTCATTCCCATCTATAAATGATTTACAAATTTGTAAATATAATTCATCAAGAAAACACACCTGCATCGCCTATCAAGTCAGACTTTTATTAAATGAAGTAACTTATGCTTCATTCTAATAGGTAGCATGCCTGGAAGTATTGAAATGCGAATTTAGTTCTAACATAATTTAACTCATTTCTTGCACAAATACCTAGAAAAGCTTTATGGCTAAGTAATATCAGAATACGCACAAAATATGAATAATCTGTGTCCAATGTGGCAGAGATTGAAATATAGAGTTTCTGTTTAAAAAGCATTGCACAAATCTTTTTAAATAGCATTTTTTTATTATAAGGAAAAAAAAAAAAAGAATAATAAAATGAATATGTCCCTGATTATTATTTAAAAATATTTCCTAGGTTAAAATGAAAAAGTAGGTATACAACATTATAAGTGACTACCACAAGACAAATTCAAATTAGCAGAGGAATCTGACTTTGAATTATCCCACTTATTATAAAATTGAATGAGAACCTGATGAGTAGAGGTCGGCCCCTGTGTTGCATCATTTTTCTCTGATACTCATGAAGATCCAGATAGTTTTTCAAGTAATTAGCTAGAAAGAGGAGGAGCTCTCTCCAGCTTTGCCAGTTCCCACGTTTGAAGTGCAAGTCTCAGAGTAATTGCTCTTTTTCCCCCAAAGTTTCAGCTACTGGCAACTTGTGAATATATAAGTAAAGTATGTTGGCTTATTATTTTTTAATTAAAGAATATGCATTCCTGGTTGTAGAGAAAAGCCTGGATATATGACCCTAGAACACCATGAAGACTTAAAAATGGAAGGTAAATTCAAACCAAATAGTTTAAAGAAACATATGATTTTTCTTTCAATCTTACTGTTCTTTGGGAATGGCTTATTTTTTTCTAAGACACCTGGGACAGCAGATGGTGCCAGCATACTGTTGAACTTAGTTATTTTCTTGCATGTTCTCGCATAGTGTTGTGTCTCACGAGAGCCTGCTTTCATTCCTACGTCTAAGTGTAAAGCGCATTCTGACTTATCAAGAGTCTGAGAACAAGATGTCCTGGGCCATCATCTGGGCCATACATCTGGTGTATGTCTATATCCAGTTGCAAGTAAAGAAGATGTGATTGTTTTCCATTTATATGACTGAAATACATGATAAGAAGACACGAGATTAACTAAGAAAGTATTCCCGCATTAATAGTTTATTATGTTTGGTTCAGTCAGAAGGCCTGAAGAAAGTGTTATTACTCTATGCCTTTGAATTGTGATGAGGCAGTTTTCATGCAGGCCAGGCAGGCTATGCAGAGCATGTGCTAGTATTGACCATTGGCTGTAATTCAAGGACCTGAGGCCAGTGTTGATGAAAATGAGAGTAATCACAATGCAAATCTTTGTGAAATGGCAGGCAGATTAAAAAAGTACATGCCATACATCAGGCAAAAAGCATAAATGATCTGTTGCCTGCAGCTGGATATCGTTGCAAGGGTTGATTAGCAGAAGGGAGTGTGACTGTTCACAATGTTTTGGTATCCATCTCAGCTGCCTGTTAGCCTGTTGAAAATTTTTCAAGTTAATATTTAAAGGCACAAGATGATTGCATCCTAAGTGCATGTTTGAGCTTCTGATGCCCTGTATTCCATTTCAGTCTTGACGGTCAGGAGAGAGAGATTTGGGGGCTGATGTCTTTTTGGAACAGGATAAGCTAAGAGTGTGTGGTGTCTTGTCTGGAGTGCTGGGTGTGTGGAATGTTTGCCTTCCAGAGTTACACATATACTTCCAGAGTATATTTAAAATTTACTTTCTATGTGTAACCAGAAAGCCTTATGCAGAAACATTCTAGCTGTAATTATTTCATTGTTAGTAGCTGTGATTTAAAGTAATGGACTGAGGAAGAAAGACCACTGTAATGTTGTAATTCTTACTAAAGAGTCATGAACCTTAAAAAAATCAAGTTGGCTTTTCAGCTTTCAGTGTTTTTGAGAATATTTAAGAGGCAAATATGCTTGCTTATTGCTTATTTTAAATAAGACATTAAATACGTCAGACAAGTAAGATTTTCATGCTCCTCACTTGTGAAATGTACAGAGGGCAAGCTATTAAACATGGAATTTTTTCCTAAAATTATCTGTATAGTAATTTATAGTTATAGTTAATAGTTATAGATAAAATTATAGTAATTTTATCTGTATTACTATACAGATAAAATTATCTGTATAGTAATACAGATAATATTTGCATTTCATCTAGTTGTCTTAACAAGATTAGTAACTCTGATCCTCACATCCAGTGAAATTCTGACAGGTTTACTTACCTTGAGAAGGATATGAGAACATATCTGAGGTCCCACAGAAGACACAGGTAATGTGAATAAAATATCAAAATCAAGCACATTCAAATTTATGGTCCAGATCGCCAACTCAGTTCAAGCATGTCTGTTAGTGAGAGTTTTATCTGGTCAAAGGCTACAGTATCAGTCCTGTTTGTTTTCTTTATTTTCATCTTCCTATTAATAAGGTAATTTAGAAGTTTATTCAAATTTTTCTGTTGTAGACTATAATATGTGCAAATTGGTTATATATAACCTTATTAAACTTTTCAAACAGTATTATGCTTAAGTCAACTATGTAAAGTTAGGCACTTGCTAATCCATTACCATTTAAAAAATACTGCTCCGCTGGCATTTCTTGGTATTCAGAAAACAAACAAACAAACAACAACAAAAAACACTATTACATATAAATGATTATCAATAAACAAAAAAAGAAATGGTCAGCAAACACAACTTTGAATCTGTAGCAATAAAAACAAACAAACAAACAAACAACCTTTCAGTAGTTCAGATAAAAAACTTTCTAAATTAATTAAAATATTTTTTTTTGTGTTACAGTTAGTGCTGAAAATGTTACATATTTATTTTATGAACTGGTGGCTTAACCAGCACTGGAGCCATGTTGGAAAGTGTTAGAATATATTCTGTCATTTGGAACAGCTTTAGGCAATTATAGGCATAAACATAATTAATGTGGTATTCCTTTTTAAAAATATTGGGATCAAGTCTGTGATGAATGAAAATGCAATGTGTTTTCCTGATGCCTTTTTGAATTGAATTAATCCAATATTAATTTATATTAGATGTGCCAGAAGCATCATCCTATTCCTAATAAGTTGAAATAGACAGCAGGAAATGCAGGTCCCTTCCTAGCATTGCCAGAATGCATCTCTGTGTGTATCCAGCAATCTGGGTGATATGTTGACAGAATGAGGCCAGTGATGCAAATAAAGGAATTTTTCCTCCTTCTCTCCTTGCAGTAAATACACTCATTTATATATGAAGTGAGAGAATGCAGTTTATTGCTTGCCATTTACTAACTGAGTAGTATTTCTATAGAAAAATCAAACTGAGAAACAGTTTCTATATTAGCATTGCTATCAAATGCTTAATTTCCACATTAGCTGATAAGAAAATGTATGTGTTAAGTGATAAGAGTATTTATGTTTCAGAACGTAAGGTTATTTCATCTGGCTTATCAGCAACCCAAGACTGAAGTAGCATTCTCTGCACATACACTACTATAAAACTACTCTAATTTGTAGATCCTCAGCTACAAATTAGAGTAGTTTTATAGTAGTTCTGACTTAAATCAGAGCCACTTCACATTAGAGGAGCACATGAATCAATGCATCTGATAAATATCAAGTAAATATTTTTTCTAAAGTGGAAGTTGAGTATTTTTTCCTATCCTCCAAAAAATATTCTTAATCATTATGCTTGTTATTTATGTTAGGATTAGCTATTTTTTCTTAATTCCTTGCAAGTTTCTAGTCTGATTCTCTGACATCCTAACACGTGGGAGACAAAACATTAGTTTTTGAAAGCCATGGAATATGTTTCAGCTTTTGCTTTTCTCAAATAAAGAAGAATCAACTTAGGATCAAAACTATGTATTCCACGAATGAGAAAAGCCAGAATTATTTCATAAATGGAAACTAAATCAAACCAAAAAACAACCAACACACATAGGCTGTATAGAAAAAGAAGAAAGTCAAAGATAGTGGGTGACTGATAATGAAGATGTGCTTGTGTAAAATAAACATACCTGAGCTTTAATATTAATGTGAAGTAACATAATTCTGTTCCCCTTCATCATAACACACAGGTAATCAGGATAGGGAGTCATACAAGTATTTAACTGTATGCAATACTAGATGGATAAAAAGCAGTCAAGCAGAAAGGAGTCTAGGAAAATAATGCACTTCTGTATTTTATAGTTTATTGTATCTAGCATCTACAGAAAACTTGATTAGTATATTTCATTCATGCTTTTCTGAGTGGCTGTATCTGTTACTGTCTAGAATAATTCCCAGCTGTGACAACTGCATTTTTGGAAAAAAATAATGGACAACTAAGCAAGAAAATGAAATGAAATGAAATGAAACGAAATGGGGTTTCCAAAGTTAGTGAAATTTTGCAAAGATCTGTCCTGCAGGTGTGTGTGTGTGTGGGGGGGGGGGGGGGTGTAGGAGGGTGGAAGCATCTAACTGCTTTCCATACGTACACTGGAAAAAGACTATCTGATGTCTGTTTGCTGGATGAAGGAATCACTCTTTCCTGCCTATAGTTCAGCTTGCCTTCAGCAGGATCACTTGAGTGCATAGTTGTAGATTCTGCATGTTTTTGTTTTAGACAGTGTATTTTGCAAGCTGTGTATGATGCATGTGTATGGTTAACTATAGCATATGTTGTTTATGAGCTTTTAATCTTTCTTCACTCAAGGCAGCAATGCACCCCCTGCAGTTTAGTGTTCCTTCTGTGTCACTTGTCTTTCAGTTGTGGATTTGTGTCTTAGCAGAATATAGAAGAGGTATCTTCAATCTTCTTATGATAGTTGAACAGCATTTCAGGCTGACAATGCTTCTCGAATCAACAACAAAACCTGTGCATCTATGCTACTAATTTTCAAGAAAGGATAACAAAACCAAACCAAACAAAAAAAAATGCATTAACACTAAACTGTTATCAGTTATACAAAATACAAAATTGTTTGCTGGTGGGGAACATTACAAGTAGAAATAGTATTTTTGATTCTAGTATGATAACTCTGCACTTTTATTGCAGTGCAGAAAACTGTTCTCATCCAATTTTCCTTAGGTTCCAAAGTTTCCATTTGCTGCAGCATTTGACCCAAGGCTAGCTATAATGTGTTGAACCTGTCCCACAATATCATGGTATTCTCCAGTAAGATGAAATACAGTGTTTTGAAAATGTATATTCACATACACCCTTAATACCATAATGATTGAAAATTAATTCAGGGATGTACAATAACTACACAAATCCCTGGAGTAGCCTGTTACTTAGTCTTCTGTGTATCATTATCAGCTCAGTCATAATTTTCATTGAGAACTGTGCCATATTATGCAAACAAATATTTAGCAGAAGAGGACCTTCATTGTATGTTTTATTACTTTGTATTTGTCACTGTCTTATTTTTTCATGTTGAATGTTTGGATGGTACATTCCAATATGTGTATATATATATAAATATTTTTATATAGAAAATGTACAATGGATCAAAATGTTCACATCTGAAGAGTTAAACAATAATAATTAAAAAAAAAAAAATCATAGCCAGTCCAAGTGGCAAAAGGATTCTTAGTTATCCATGCTTATATTACTGCCCTTTTATTTAATCAAATTTGCCCTTTGATCAGTGCTTTAGATTAACAATGTAAGAGTTTAAAGTAACATTCTTCAGAATAAGAAAAATGATAACACAGTTGTATTATCTAATGAGGAAAGAGAAAGAGAAAATATAAAAAGATTATTTGTACCAGTTATACAAAATACAAAATTGTTTGCCATTAGGAAATGTAACAAATAGAAATAGTATTGTTGCTTCTGGTATGATAACTCTGCTCTTTTTATTGCAGTATGACTCAAACCACCTTTTTATCTCGGAGGAAACAATATAAAAGCAAAGAAATATCCCTTGACAGAAAAGCTCTGTACCACTGGTAAAATGTTTACATTAAGATGTTTTTCATTAAATAGTTATAGTTTTTGTTTGTTTGTTTGTTTTTGTAATGGAAATAAAAGAACATATAATGTAAAAGTGTAAGACCATTTTGCATCAAAAAATAGACTTCGTAGTATTAGTTACATGTATTAGCACAAAAGCCATATTACATATATTATATAACATCTATTTTACTGGGAAAGTATGATTTATTTCAGCCTATTTTTAATCTGTTGTATTTTCCCTAACTTGCAGCTTCAACTTCAACATATGTTCATGCTTTGCAGTTCCACTTGTATCTTGGTTTCCAAAATGCTTTCAGGTATTGTGGTAAGCTCATGTCCCTGTTAATTAACCTTAAAAAAGGACAGTTCCTTTATGATCACAGAATGGTACTACAAAGTCTTTATTCACCATTGATTTTAACTTTTAATTTTGTTTTATGAAATAGCAAAACAATGTAGTTAGTCACATTAAAGCAGGAAACAACTGAAGTGGGAATTGTTTTTCCAGTAACTAAATATTAGTTGCTAACCATTGCTAATGATTAATGTGCTAGGCAAATTATTATCAATTTAAATTCCAATGTGTCTATTTGTTTCTATGATAATATTCAAACTCTTTACAGAACTGAAGGATCAAATCCACAAGTATAAAAAATAACAGTCTATAGGAGCATAATCCTTAATTAAATAATTTAAATTTATTTTCTCTACAAGGAAATGTCATTTTAACTCTTACTGTAAATTATTCTGGGGCTTGCTCTCTTTTTTTTTTAACCATGCTTCTATAAAGAAAAATAAAAACTTTTGGTTTTGACCACATAAACAAGAAATAATAAAGATTATGATGATATTCAAATTTTGTATAATTGACAAAAGCAATAAGCAATTAAACTTGCTGCAAGCAACTAAACTTTTGCATTTCTTTTTGATGTTCTTTGAAACATGTGAAGACTGAAAACTCTGTATCCAGATGTGCTTCCCTACAGTATTCAATCTAATCTTTCTTCAATACATTTTATAAGATTATCTATTGACTTTTTAACAAAGGGATGTTGAAAGTGTTGATTTCGTGTAGCAGTGTTCAGTGATGTGTACTATAAAGAGTCTACGTTCTCTCTAAAGTTCTTAAAAATACTGCCTATGGATATTTTAAAAATGTCCCTGCTTTCGGAGGAAAGAAATTCCTTAAGAAGAATTGTAATTGTGCTATGCAGTGAAAGTGAAGACTTTCAACACAGGGCCTTAATAAAATAAATAAATAAATAAATAAATAAAATGAATAGATATAGATAAAATAAATAAATATAAATATAAATTACGTATGTAAATATAATAAAATAAATAGATATAGATAAAATAAATAAATAAATAAAAACAGTAGTCCTCTTTCTAGTCAAATTTTGCCAGGGGAGTGATTTCTTTCTGATTTCTTTCAACAAGTAATACTATTTTTTTTTTTTGAGAGGAAAAAAAAACTCTTAAGTTTCTCACCTTTTTTTGTTTAGAGTATGCAGGAGTTAAAACAACAAAAAGAAAAACAATTAAGGTTAGACTAATCTAGGAATTTACAACAGGTTGTGTGCTTCACAATGTGACAAGGGCTTAACTAACCCTGCATAGTTAACTAACCCTAATGGCTGCAGTTGCTTGATAGTTGCTAGTCTCAGTTATAGTCGATTAAAGCAACCCTAATTATGGCATTTAAGCTAAAAGAGGAAAAGAATTTAACATTAAGGCTTAATATTTGTGGAATGCAATGTCAAAGAGCCACTCAATTCATCCTAATCTCTGCAGTGGTTTTACATATACGACTATCTATCTTGTTTCAGATACTCTAAAGAACCTTTGAAGCAACTGCATGGTCTCTTTAAGCAACCTTCCCACATGAAACTTATTTCTCCAATAGCCTTCCAAGCATGAGATGTAAGTCCTTTGATGACCGTTTTGTTGAAGAATAGTTTATGGTTTATTACTAATTATGGAAACTCTTAAGATATGTTTGTCATTTTTTAAATTGAGAACTATCTGGTTAATAATTCATTCAAAGTTACGGTGAGCATGCAGTTCTTTACAAAATTTAACCAGCTTTTAATTCCATACACCAAAAATTGAGTAATTTTATGTAGAAAATAATTTCAGCATTTTATTTTTAAGTATAGCTCAGTGGATATTCTATTAAGTGGATTTGATCCCTGTCCTGAGAGGATGAGAGAAGGAGGGTTATCTTTCAAAAATAAGAATAGAGGCCAGGCCTGCATGAGATATGTTCTTCATATCACAAAATGGATAATTTTGATTGGAGCAGTTTTTAATGCTAAATAATAGTCTACTATATTCACTGAATTCTGTTATGCAGGTTAAGTTGCATCTGTGTAGATCATTTATCAAAAACTTCAGACAAGAATCTTGATTTATGTAAAACAAAACAAAATAGCCAACCCCCCACCAAAATTATATTATGTGTAATACATGTCTTCTGGTATTAGTAAACTTTAAAGTGATCATCGAATTCATTCCACCAGCTGTGTCCTTCCCAACAATGCTGAGCAGAACTGAAGAGTGCTAATAAATCAAGTAGATATATGCATCATTAATCCATACAGATCAGCACTCCTTGAAATGTAAATTCCAGAAAGAGACCTGCATTTTCAAAGATGTATACAGCTTCTGCCAACTGGTGTTTCTGTATTCAACTTGCTTAAAGATTAGCTGTAAACTTCAGAGAAGAGAAAGACTTGATGCCTGCAAGTATAAATATAGAAAGACATTAGTCTATGAAAGTGAATGTGATATACAGATATGTGAAGTCTTCATTTACTAGCAACTACCTGAAATCTTTGTTAAAGTACACATTGATTGGAAATTAGATTCATTAAAAAAAAAAAAAAAAAAAAAAAAAAAAAGGACAAAACCCAACCTTATTCAATACTTTTAAAAGGAATAGTCATTGTAAAGAAGCAAAACATGAAAAATATAGCAAGTGTTGGAACATGTAAGAAACAGACAGAGATGCTGAAAGAAAAACTACAATCTATGATATAAACTACTGGTATGCTGCTACCCTCAGTCCTGTATTTCTGTATTAATTTCAGTGGACTGGATTTTTTTCCAAGACTGAGATTGATCTGGAGGAAGGGAATCTGGATTTTATTATCAGATAAAAATGTTGTGGCCACAAAACACAAAGTGCTGGTCCAATATAAAATCACCCTGCTGATTCAGAATTGTCCAGATCTTTTTCCTGAGTTAAGCTTTAATATGACAAATGACAAATAAGGGATTATGCAAATGTAATTATTACAGTTCACCTATCCCCTGCCCTTGTAGAAGTGGTATAAGACCAGTGTGAACATCCTGGTCCTTGGCTAATTTGAAAGAAATTAATTCAGATTTCCACACCTGATTCTGATCAACTTTGTACTTCTGAGTAGTGCCCAGACCTGATCAATATTAGTGATTAAGAAGCCACAACCTCAGAAAAAGTGGAAGAAATCAATAACATTTTTTTTTATCTGTGGAAACCATAAATTTGCTTAATAATCATATTTCAGAAAGATAATTTCAAAGGTTAATTATATTGTAATGAAAAATTAACAAAAATTTATGTCAAATATACAAGTAGCAGAAGAATAAAATTCGCTGTACTAAAGAATAAAATTCGCTGTACTATTTTTAACATTTTACAGTTCTTGAAGAAATATTTCATGAAAGCTCTTTCCATGTAAATCAGCTTGGTTTGATTCTGTCCAGTTTCAGTGGAAGGAGACTTCTACCATTTAAGTAACCCCCTAATAAAACGATCAGAAACCTAAAAAGTAGTGGTGCTAGATCCATAGCGGGGATAGATCCATACCTTTTAGCCCATGAAGTGGAAGACTGAATCCAACATTGGGAACATATCCTGTGGGCTGCACAGTGGCTTAAACAGAAGAACAAAATGATTCTGGATCTTCAACAGGATTATGTGGAATCTGATGCTGAGATACTTAGAGTGGGCCCACACTACAGCTCACCAGTCCTGAGAAGCTTAAAGAGTAATGCACCTGAAGAATGCTTCTTCAATGGGGTGCACCAGGATTTCTGGATTGCAAGGTACAATTTCAAACAAGGATATCTGCTTGTATTTCTGTATAGTTCTATTTGGCACTCCATTTAACATTTCAAGTTGATTTTCTTCTTTGGTATTGATCTATAATAAAATGGTTAACATGAAGAAGGAGAGCAGACTAGCACAATATTGTCAAACAAAAGGTAATAAAAAGAAAAATTCCTAATGCAGGAGTATATATGGATGTCATTTTTATATATAAACTGAGTATGTCATCCTTAGCAAATGAACACAGTTTGAGATATACAAATATAAAAAGATGTTACTTTTAACTAAGCACATCCCATGACCTGCATTAGAAATGACAAAGAATACACCATGATTCGAAGAGCAGGCAAATCAATTTCATTTCCTTTTTAACGAGGTTCACTATGCAAATGGAGATATGTAAACCAAAGGTAGGTGAGAAACAGAGTAACTAGTCACAGAATACAAATGTGATTAATATCGTAGCATTGATGAAGAGCTGTCTTTTCCATTCAAAACATAACTTATCAAACATTTGTACAGTTGCTGTTATTAAATTTTTTGCATTCAAAAATTTATTTTTTTTTTTAGTATACAGTGTAACAGTGTAAACTGAGGTTGCCTGGGTTAATTTCTTTACATTCAGATCTCTCACTTCTTAAAGCTTCTTCAAACCGTTCATATTCTTCCTTTGTTTGGAGATTTTTATTTTTATTTTTACCAACTCAAGATACTAAGACTGTGGATTAATACAAATGATATACTGATGGGGAGCTTCTAGTTCACCTATTCAAAATCAAGGATGAAATAGATTCCTTTTATTATTAGTAGATTAAGAACTTTGACATGTTAACAGAGGATGAATTATTTACTAGAGCCAATATGTATGCCCCTGTTGTAACATACAATTTAACTTGTATGAAAAATTCTAGAACTCAGTGCCACTAGCCTCATACCTGATATAGAAAAATACTATGAACTAAAAATGTGGAACAGTTAGAATTATACCATTTCAAATATATACATTTTTTACACTGTTAGAAGCAGTCATTTTTCCAAAACATCACAAATCTTGTAACAGATATATCTGAAGTAAGTCCACTCAAGTTAACATATTTGCATGATGGGAAAATGATCAAAATATGATTCTGCGATATGACCCAGAGTAATTATACAAATATGTGAAACTTATTTTTCCCAAAACAAAGGCTACCACTTTATGAGTTAATGGATATCTTATTCCAATGAAGCAAACAGTTCTCTCTGCCTTTGTATAACCAGTATGTTAAATTCTCATAATATGAATCTCTAGTTTGTTTCAGGCCCTTTTTAAGAAACATTGATTCCAAAATGCATTAATGCCAGTCAAAAGAGTGATTAACCATTCTGTAAAATTTTGCATTGTGCTCTCTGAAGTAAGAATAAAGTTGCTCTAAAACAGTGTTGTTAACAAGAGGATGGGGGCGCCCTTTGGATTCGTGTAAACATCTCTCTCTTCCATCACTTCGAATGCAATAGAATCCTTTAGTTTGGTTAAAATAAAAATTAGAAGACATAATTCGGGAAGGAAGATTTAGAAATCTTTCAACTTTTTGTAATTCAGGAAGAGGGTCCTTGATTAAAGTATTGCCATCCACTATGTGAATCTGATTCAAATTGAAATGTTTAAGCCACTTTTCCATATGAACATCATATAGACTTCTCTGAATAGCCTTGTATTTGGTATTAAGTGCTCCATTCTTAATAACAATATCTTCAAAAAGCTGAACAGGCTTGTGGCTCTCTACTCTGTTGTAATATACTTGGGTATAGTCAGATATAACTCTCTCAGTGGGATCTCTTAGAATGAGCAGCAGCTTAATGGAGCTATTCATGTCATGAATTCTTTCTGGAGCCTGTGGTGATGTAAAATAGCCTGGTGTTTTCTCAATTGTAATTTGATTTCCGTAAGAAAATGGCATCAGACTCCTATACCAGTCTAATCCTTTCACATAATTTTCATCCCAGTCAAAAAAGTGAACTTCTGTAGCTGCCACTACAATATTAGGATGAATATCCAACATTTCCAGCAAAGCCCTGGTCCCTCCTTTACGAACTCCTATGATAATTGTCTGAGGTATTCGTCGGCTTGTGCCAGGAGGTCTCACCTGTGCTGAATAGTGTTCGCTTTTATTGCTGAATAATCCTACCTGTGACTTCAGTGTTTCCAACAGTGGCCCATTTTCAACAGGAGCACCCTGAGTATGAGTCAGCAGAAGATAAGCTGACACCAGTAGGAAGGCCATATGGAGAGGAATAATTAGTTCAAGATAATGTTATGCTTGATTAATGAAAAAATAGGCAGGTAACTTCTTGAGTTGTTTGGCAGAACCAGTGGTAAAGAGACAGCAACTTTCTGAAGCATCTGCAAAATAAAGTAAGACAAATCAGTATTTCTAAACCCATCACAAATTGTACATGTAATTTACCATTCAATACACAAATCCAATCTGCAATTACAACAGAAAATTTATTTCAAAGTTATATGTTATCTGTTTTCCCAGACTTCATTTCAGAGAAGAAGGAGGAGGAGGAACAGGAGGAGAAGAAAAAATAGGAAGAGAAGAAGGAAAAGGAGGAGAACAACCACCACCGCATTTTCCTCCTTGACCACAGGTGACCAATGAAGGACACTAAGCTTACAGCAACTTTTATTTCCTTGGGGAAGTACTGAGCCTAAGCAAAACATTAGAATTTTTTACCCAATTTTAAAGTCTTGACCAATTTGTGCTTGCTTTGATTTTGTTGGTTCTCTTCCTGCCATTTATATCATACCCAATAGGACATTAATAATCATTCCAAAGCATTTTTGAAACAAAACACAGGTTAAGGCAAAATTTTGGAATCTGAGCCCTTCAGAGCAGAAGACTAATAGTATTATAAAGCAATAGTGCAGTGCCTTTGTTGGATTGATGTGAAAAAAATCGTCACAACGGCATATTTGCAGCTATCAAAGTGCTGTGAAGTGTAGTCACTTAAGTGTTGGGAAAATCTTGGCAAAACCAAATATTTAGGAACAATTCTGCATTTTCTCCAAAGCCACATGCAAGAAATACCTAGATACTTTCTGGTTACCTAAAAATGTTTGCAGGGAAGCAAGGCTGATTGGAGCTGGAAACATTTTTTCTTAATCCATTTAGTATTCAATCATGTTAAGGAAGTGATGAATGTTAAACATCCTAAAATTTGAAACAAACAAGCAAAAAGTTCTAGTTTTTTTTTTTTTCTCCATCCCTGAAAAATCTTACAGAACAAATCCTCATTAAGAAGATTCTTGTCCTATTTCTGAGCAAATATAACATTTTAGATTGCAGGTTAAATCTATTTCCTTAACTATTTTTCAGTGTGCTTTCACACAGTGAAGCAGCAGCCAATAAAAATAGCTGGTTTTTGATTCTATTTGAATTATGGCTCATATTGTAAAGTAGTCTCACAAATACTACAATTTTAGCTCCTTCTTTGGTTCCACTGTCAATCTCTTTCTTTTTCTGAATATATTGGTCACAGTGCTGGCCTCTTAGAAATAACCTTAAAGAGCACAGTCAATTCCCATTTGTCATAGCTCTGAGGAGCTCTTAGTGTTTCTATTCAAAAATTGTTTACCTTCAGTCTTAATTTACAGACTTAAAAATGTAATATAAAAACATTTTTGATAATAACAATCCAGGCAAGATTCATTGAATCTGTGTTCTAAATCTTATTACAACCTACTCCATTTTCCTTTATAACTAGGGAATAACTCTTTTTGTAGGCCTGACTGAACTCTAAACTCATGCATAGATAGCAAGCATTAACCCTTTAATTTTAAGACTGCTATATTAAAAATAATCATTTATTAAATATTGGAAAAGCCCAGATATAGTTGGATTTCTAATCAGAAACTAAAAAAATAAATAACAACAACAACAAACTCCTTTACCTACATGAAAGAAAAATTGATTTTAAAAGTCATAGCCTTTTTACTAAGAACTTCACATAGACATTCTACTTAGGGTTCTCAAGAGCAGGGAATGAAGGAATGCAAGCATTTCTATGGAAATTACAGAATGGAAGAACAGCTACATTTATACAAAAAACATTTGTAGTTATTTTTTCAGAACAACTGATCTTTTGGATGGTGAGTTTGAGAAAAAATAAATGTGCTATTTAGAGCTGCTGAGGAATCAAAATGCATTTTGCTATAAGTGACAGCTAATATCTGTTGGTTTTGAAAAGCTCTCATAGTCTATACAACACTGAACGTGCAATTTGAGGCATCAAAACCCAGTTGATGCCAAAAATATTGCCCTTCAAATTTCATGCAAGTTTGCAAGCAGTGACTCTGTTATATAAATTCTGGTCATTTGGTGAATTCACAATTTGTTGATTCACAAGGTTCCTTAACTGTCTATCTAGATTAAGGATAGGGCTACGCATAAGATGTTGGAACCAATTTCTCTCTTATCTGATGTAGGAGTCTATGGCAATATTGCCACTTTCCTGGCCTATGATCCTAATAGGCTGGGATTTGGGATCATGGCACAAGGGATGAGGGAACGGTTAATCTTTCTTTTAACTTGTTTCAAAACTTAAGTATTAAGTAACATTCTAATAATCTTAATTTTTAGATTAAAATTCTTTCAGGAAGATTGAGTAATTGTTTTTGTAAATCCCTTACAAGTGTTTTCAACTTATCTTTCCTGTGCTTATCTACATGCATACATAAGATTACAAGTGCTTTGAAATAAAGGCAAGACCAGCCTGAATGTCAGACAACCAAGCATTGTGTCTTGCATATACCAAGGAGTAGACATATAGTTCATTATCCAGTTTAAATTCCAGAGCTATCCCATCTTGAAACAGTTCCATAAACTGATTTTTAACACATATATTAGGCATTTGTGATAAACCAGAAAAAAAATATATTAGAGTTATTGAAATATTTATATGAACATATATGTAATATATGAAATATGTCCAAATTAATTGATTTTTGTTTTATTTAAAAACATAAATCACAAATACTGTTTATTCCTAGAACTGATGGTTATCTCGTTTCATTCACCAAAGAATCAGGCACAAATACTCTTTCAGAGAAAACTGGAAACTTAATAAGAAATTTGTACTTGAAACTAAGGAAAGTTTGGTTTTCCAAAATATTTTGAGGTTTGCACATAATATAATTGAGTGTCTGTTTAATTTACTATCTGTAATTTACTATCAGTAGTTTTCTATAACATGCACTTAGAAACCAAGTAACAGAAGAAATCCTACATTTTCTGATCACCAAAGTATTAGTAATATTTTTGAAAACAATTATGTCAGTTTAACCTATTTGCAATTAATTAGTTGTTTTATATAGTGGAAATTTCTTAGACTCATTGCTAGAACAAAACCTTACCCAGGAAATATTACCAGAAATAATTGAATTCAGAATGTGCTGCAAAGCTGGTGCCTAAATAGAACAAAATTGCCTTTGGGAGCAATTCCATCAGAACAACATTCCAGCTTTGGCCTAAGAGATTTGATTGATTTTGATGAAGCTCTAAGATGTTAGATCCTGTGGTTAGGTTATAATTGCTACACAAATGTAAAAAGGATTTAAACATGATTTATCAAATATAATTGGAAGGTAATTTGAATAATTTTTGTGTTGTTTTTCTGTCTTTATGCAATTAAATGCACATTTTTAGAAGATATGAACTGCTTTATGTAATGAAAACAATATATATTACATTGAAGCGCTGTGTACTCTGAATCTCAAAATATTCCTATTAGCTATATCGAACATAACTGAAAAATTAACCTCATGATACATGATCAGAATTATAGTGCCTTACTGCTCTCCCCCCATTTTTATTTGGTAGTTTCATGTTGCTTAGTAGCATAAGGAACATCAACAGATACGATACTTAAGCAGATATGAAGCTCAGAAAGAAATTCATGCTGCAAAGAGAACTATTTAAATACATAATAACTTGGGCTTTTGTTGTTTTATTTTTTTAAAGCCTTAGACTAGACTAAAGAAGCCAATATGCTGGCTGAAAAATCATTTTAATATTGCAGAAATGTTCTAAAGACCCTTAACTTCTGCACTCTATTATACAAAAATCTAAGCAGCTTATGATTTACCTTGCTTCAGGGTAAAGTGCAACATCATAGGGTAAACGTAACTATATTATTATTACTCACTTATAATATTATTATTTTCTAATACTACTTCCCACTGCCTGTAATACTTTCACTTGGAGAATTTCATAGCACTTTATATTAATTAATTGTCTGTACCTTATTAAGGCACCATTTTCATCTTACAGGAAATTGCAACTGAGCAACATACAGTCAGTTCAGGAGCGCAAATGCTTTGGAAAGTCACGGTTAATGTGATCTGCTTAAGGTCATACAAAAGTATGTCTAACCAAGAAAAAGCCTGGAAACACAGGGCTTCCAATTCCCCTTCCAGTTCCAACTTTGTACTATTTCATGGCAGTTGCTCACATCTCTTACAGTAACTTATACTTGGGAAACATGCTGAACTGAAAACCACTGATTCCTCAGTGCTTCAGCATAATATTGGAGCATGAACTCAGGATTTTATTGTTTCAGGATATATTTATGCAAAAATAGTGTTTATTACTGAAAGCTCCAACAAACGGAGGCAGTCAGAAAAAATATAACAAAACACCAGTTTCTGTCTTGAATTTAAAAACATTTGGGGAGTTAAAAAATATACTGCTTTTCCTGTTTATTCCTGTTAGATATCATCTCATCCCAACAAAGAGATCAACTACTGAGAAGAGTGTAGGTCAGTCATTTTAAGACTTGCTGGCACACAAAAATTTGTAACAGCTATATTATACTTCTGTAGTTAAGAGCATCTCTGTCAATGACTATATATATTAAAAAAAAATAATACTAAGCTATAGCAGCCTAACTAATCACAACTAGAGGCCACGTAAGGTGAACTGCTTTGGCAATTAAAAAAAAATAAATAAATCATACTGTGATGACAGTTATGGCACTGTAAAGCATCTATGTACAGACTGGCTTTATGTAATAAGTAACTCTAAATTAACAATAACTACCTACCACTACAACAAGAACATAATTAAGTTCTCAAATTTCTTAAACTGGATTTTTCTTTTTTGTTTGGTAAAAGTAGAGCTAGATACATAGCAAAATAGATGCAAATCTGCTCTCAGCATAGTTTAAACATATTTTAAAAAAACTGGTGAAGAAATAATCCTGTGCATATGGGATGCATTGCTTAATGTAATCCAGTACCATTTATTCCAATCCAATAAAGGAATAACTAAATCTATTATTACTTCTAATATTTAATTGCTAAGACAGTCATTGAAAAATCCTTTTCATAATACCTAAATTCTACTTTATAGAATCATTTGAGAAATGATGTATTAAAAAAACACTGGACACATGGTTGAAATGAAAGTATCCTCTTTAATATGAGGTGAAACCGAAAAAATTCAGCCATTTCTACCCCCACAGGTTAGATACGTCTAGGCTGAGTTCAGAAGACAATGAGGGCATAGAAATGTATTCTGTGTGAAGTGTGAAGAATATTTAACATTTTGAAAAATTTTCCTACATAGAAACAATTATGAATAGATTATTTAATAGATGCAGTGCAATTACCTTAGGTTTGTGTTAGAATGAAATTAGCAATAAATAGCTACAGCTTAATATGTGCAGAACTGTGTCCTGAAAGTCTCACTGTGATCTGATTCAGAAGAATCCCAGATAAAGAAATACATTTTTGTACATATGAAACTTGAAGTAGAAGCTTTCATAGGGCTTGGTGTTACAAAACCACATGCAATTCTAGCATCGTCACATTTCTGCAAGAATGCAGAATTCTTTTCCAGGGTTGTTTAAAATGGAATGCAAGTTTATGACCTTTCAAAAAGAACAAAATCTCATTTTTAGTTTTGCAATCAAATCCCAATCAAAGTGAACTTTATATAGGCTCAGGCTTCTATGGTAGAATTTTGTCTCAGCTCTCACTAAAAATATATTAGTGTAATCTGGTTAAGCTTGGATGACTACCAAGGGTATTGAATAGCAAAGTACATTTCCATTCCACACAATTTCAGTCTTAAAGCTCACATAATATTAAAATTAGAGTGTATAAGTGAAAAGAGTACTTTACAAACATTGTTTTCTTTAAATGTGCTTAAATATGTCTTTCAAGGTATTAACAAGAAATCCAAAACATACTGAAAATAATTACAAGAACAACTGTTTTTATGATATGTGGCTATTTAGGCTGGGGACATACTTTTGGGTTAGAGGTGTTACCATCTAAAGACATGATTATACTATTATTATGCTCTTATTAGGTTTATCATTGATCAATAGCTGGATTTACTGTTCATCTCTGCTGCAAAGAATTGTTCAAGTGCTCCATTGCTTCCTCTCCTAGCAGGAAAGGCTATCTGTTTGGACAGTATTGGTAACCCATGTAAAATCTGCTGTTTCTGCAGCAGATTGCAATTTCTCCTAACTCAGTCCAAAATAAGGTGGATTATTTTAATGGTTTAAATAGCACCACTAATTTAACTCCTTTTACTGAACATAGCCAGAAAGTAAATATGCAAGTAGATGAGTTGTCTAATACAGGAGAAGAGGCACATCTGGTGAAAGAAACAGCACCTCTATTTGTAAAGAAAACTTCTGCCCAAGATCTAAAGTGAAAAATACCATTTCCAAAACCATTTCAGTCAACAAATTGAATTTGAACTCTAGGTACAGCTCTATACAGGAATGAATCAGTCAAATAATTTACAAAAGTCAGTATGAGGCATGGCACTTCACCCCAAAAAACATTTGCTCAGCTATCCTTACATTTTAAGAGGAGTTGCCTATGCAAATTAAAATAGTTAAGAACAGCTTCATTAGTAGGCTTGCCTAAAGATAGGTCCTGAAGGAAAAGCTAAAGCTGCAAAAAAATGTATTTGAATTCTAATTCTTGTACAATAAATGCTACAGAACAGACAGAGATTTGACAATAGATGGGCCAGTAAAATAAATGAATGGAAAAAAAAAAAGTACATTGGCATTAGAGAGAGGCATTTGAAAGCACTGCATAGGTGAACCTGAATTCAATATCGCATCATTACAGGTAAAAGTGTAAGTTATAAAATATATATTATATATTTTGAGGTAAAATAATATATATTTTACCTCAAGTATTCCCTGAAACTTACGAAGTGTGAAAGGAGATTTATCAGCACATGATAACCATTTATCTTCAGAAAGAGCATGAAACTGTTCTGCTACATGTTTACTCTATATTCCACTGCCAGATTAATGGTAATAATAAAATCATGTTCCCATTGTCATTACTGGGCTTTATCAAATATCTGTCAGGGGATGTTAGTCAGTTTCCATGGATATACACAGCTTTGACATGAAAAGTACCTTCCACATCTGTCATGGAAAATATCTGATGCAAACTGTAGAAAGCAAGACAGGCTGAGTAAAATAACACCTAACACCTTGCAGCTTTGCAACAGAGTTTCAACTTGAGTTCCACTGGGCTCTGGTTACGCCAAGAATAAGAGACTAAGAAAGACAAAAAGGACCAGAGATCCCAGAAACAAATAAACATTGCAGTAATTCGTATTACTGATAAAGAATGCTAATGTTTTTGTACGGACTTATGTATTTTGATCACTTTCATTTTACTTAAACTATAGATGTATTTTTAGAAAGGCGATGCACTAAGACACCTTTCCCAAAAGGGGTACTTCCTAAAAAACATGATGCCACACTCTGTCACAGAATACTGTCTTGCTGTTGTAACTCTTCCAGAAATGAAAGAGTCTAACTGTGTCTCTATAAGCTTCAACACAAAAACCTAAACTATCCCAAAGAAAGACAAAGAAATTAACATTTTCAACTCCTAATATCAGCAATGAATTTCTTTGGATGAAGCTTTTACAAATGAAATTGCAGTTTTGTAACAGCCGACAGTTACTATCTTTCAGAGTGAAAATAAGAATAAAAAAGAAAATAGGTATTTGGTGGCTAAAGATAGGAGCTGCAAAATAACATCAACTGGCTGCAGGCTTCACTTCTACCAGGTACACAGACTATAATGGACTTAAAGAAAAGCTAAGAAAGGTTAGCATAAACTATAAACACATTAAATCATTGGCAGGTGATATTAGCAGATACAAGTTTTGAAAAAATTTGCTTCCCTAAGGCTAGCATAATGTTTTCTAATTCCTATTTCTGATAACTCAAGATAGAAAATAGCCTGATGATAATATGACTGCAAATTTATAGCAGTATATACAGTAATATATACAGTAAAAATAATCTTTTTTTTGTGCTAAATAAACTTCCTACAGACGTAGCCTACAAAATTATATTTTACGATATCTTTTAAAATATCATAATCAACCACCCACATAATAAAACCATCCACATAAAGGTTACTGAATTATAATTTCATAAAGACCCCTCTGTAAAACTGGGCACAGTCTAAGCATGCCGCTAAACAGAGAAAATAAATTCCTGTTCCTATTAAGATATAAAATACAGATAGTGGTCAGATTAATACTGATGACAAGGCCAATTTTATGTGTGTAATCACTCTACATATCACATTGGCATATTTCAAATGGAACCACATTATCAATTTATTGAATTAAACTTACACTTGTAATTGTTAATTATGCATCAGGACCGATACAAACAGAAGTGACAAAGATCCCATGCCAGGCCTTCACCCAAATAAGCAGTAACTGCATAATTATAAAATGATAAATAGCTGATAACTAGCTTCTGTGTTAATTTCTACAGATCTTGCTAAGACAAAACTTCAGCTTCTCTACCTCTCTTCTAAATCTTAGAATATTATTCATTTACCCACTTCCATTGTCACAAAGAAAACCTTGATACTCACTGATGTTTAGGAATTCAAATTAGAATGAATTTGCTGCAGATTTATGAGACCTGTCTTTCAAAGGAAAAGATTCCTCAGAAGGTAAGAGATGACAGCAGAAGCATTCAATAGGGAAACAAAGCTCTATGTTGTATGAAACAGCAAATTCCTACAGAACATCCAAGTTCTCACAGTAGTGAGAGTGTAACAGAGATCCTAGTGAGTGCTTCCAGAGTGAGTACTTACTGGCACTATAAAAACGACAATAAACACTTGTTAATCTGATCTGGTGGGGATTCTGAAGCACTACAACTTCAGGGACTATGAAAAGGGAAAACTCTGTCTCACAGGAGAGTTTTTTCTGGGCAGAACTTGTCAATATTATTCCTTGAGTTCTTAGCACAGCTCCAATGCAGAGTGAGAATACTCCAGACAGTGCTTAACAGATGGTGGCAGCTGAACTAGGAGCTACCCAGGGCAGCCAGGAATGATGTGGCAAGTTAGCCAGGGAGAGAAGCCACAAAGCAGGAGGCTCATGGGCCAGGAGGCTCCTTTGTTCCCACCTTGAACTCTCTCCCAAAGTTAAACACTTCAGCCAAGTATGCCCCTTTGTAGCTTACCTACTCCTATATATACTTAGATCTATTACCTACTCTTACCCTCTAGTATCTTACCTACTCTTTTTAGTAACTTCTCAGGAGAGTTTACCAAGGCTCTGGTATTAGCCTTGTAAATGTTGACTGAACAATGTTTAAGAAATGCTTCATAAGTGCATGAAATCAAAGAACGTTTTAATTTCTCTGACTATAGCTAGTTCTTAAGTCCTTGGTATTTTAGAAAGCTTTTAGTTAACTCAGAATCATGAAAAATGTCACACATCCTATAGAAGTAGTTTGTTTATTTATTTATTTTTTTAATGAATGACTATAAAACAGACATTGTGGGAAAATATAAAGAAGCTGAAAACATAAGTCATTAAGATAACTGATTTAAAGCTGAAAAGCTAATTTTGAAATGTTGGTTACTGGCTTAGGTCCTGATAAGAGGCAAGATCAAGACAATGGTAAGGGACAAAAGGCCCGAGTATTAAAGCCTGATGAAATAATAATGACCTGTCAAACTAAGAAAGACACACAATCCACACTGAATGTAGGTATGCTTAGAGACTTTGAGCATCCGAAAATCGAAGATTATATGAAAAAATATCCGCAGTCTACCTTTCCTCAAAGTAAACATACAGAACTTGAAGTCAGAGACTACATAAAGCCTAACAATTCATTCTTAAAACTGATTACTACAGAAGGTAGTGAAGAGGAAAAACTGTCATACTGGAAGGAAATCCCTGATAACAAAGGAGAAGTTAAATGCAATACCATTATAGAGAGAAGATACATAACAGGCAAACACATTGGAAAACATAATACTCTTCTTGAATAAAAACTCTATTACTGCCTTCAACACAGATACTCATTATCAGTTACATGCATGTCCAACCCAGCAGGCAGCTGTAGAGACATAGGAATGAAGGCAATTGAAGACTCATTTGAAAATGCCTAATAACCAGAACACAACACAGAAAATAGACCAGTTGTGCCAAACTCAAGCTTCTTTGGCACTGCTCCTCATACTAAAGCAGAGGGTGAAAGATGACAGTCATTGAGTTTTTGGCCTAAAAACACAGATTAAGTACAAAACAGATTATTTTCTGGATAACAAAGACAAGCAGAAATCCTTTGCTTTTTACCAGACCTGTTCCCACTGTTGAAGTAATATATGAAAATACAGTAAAAGAATACTTACCACTGACAGTCTGAGAGCAGATAGCTAATATCAAACATTTCCTAGGTTTATCACCAGGATTTCTGAGATTTAGTAGGGGCTCCATCTGACTGCATTTTGCACTTCTCAGTTCAGAAATACAGAACTTAGAAAAGCTTCTCTGCCATCCTAGTCTTATAAACTCTAATGTGCAGGATGAACCCGTAGGAATGTCAATAACTCAACTGAAGTCAAAGTATTAAAGGTATCCAAATGTATGACAAAAACTCTTAAGCTTCAGTGGGAAAAAAAAAAAGCAAATCCTTCTCTTTCCTCTCAGTCCAGCCAGTTATTATGACAACTTCTCTGTGCAAAAAGAATCTCTGCATTTTAAGCTTAGGGCAGCTTAAAGTATGCCCACAAAAACATTTTCTTTTGTTTTGCTCTAAACCTGGAAAGCCAGGGGAAAAATAGCTGCAGTACCACTGCATCAAATAGCATGGTTAATTCAAGCAGAACATGTTCCCTGCCATACAGCATCACTTCTCCCCTATAGCTCAGTGCTACTTTGCACCCAAATAAGCTGTCCACACTCTTCATTTAATGCTGCTTCACTTCAAATCAGCTAAAACTTCTCAGAAAGGCTCTTTGATGGCTGACAGTGCCTACAGGCACTAAAGGCTCTTTGGAGCCTTTAAGCTCTGTCTGTCAATTTCCACCTAGGTCTTTAAGGTAAAAATCATACTTAGGAGCCATCACAAACATTCAAGATCTGAACTTTAAGACTTCAGATTTGTGAGACTTGTGACAAATGGTAAGAGTTTGTCACATTAGAAACTCTAAGTAGAAGGAGCCATAATAGATTTGGTCAAAGACTGAATCAGAGCATATTAAGATTCCCTCCCAGATTCATCCATTGTGTTTGCTGACTAATGATAAAGTTAATAATTAGTACTTGTCTATCTGAAATACCAGCATTAAACATCTGCTGTACCTAGACATATTATAATGTCCTTTTAACAGTTTCTCCTTAAGTTTCAAATTTGTTGTCAGTATTCTGGTAGTTGGCAAGGTGTTTGAAACAGTAATAGAGAAAAAGGCAGAGGTAGGAAGGGTCTTTGACACATTTTCCATAATTAACTGTATATTAATTAGAGCAATAAATGGTCAGAATGTTCAAAGTCATTCTGTTACCAGTGGGTAGATTGTACAACACATGTACTTTACATCATTGTAAAACCTTTACTTTTCAGCTATTCAAAAAGATACTGCATAACAGCAGAATGGTATTATATTGCCACAACACCGGGACAATTCATCAAGGATCAGTACTTTAATACGTCAACAGGACAAAAAGTACTTTCATTGTCTTTCATTCTCAATCTCCCTCTCAGACTCTCTCCCTCCTAATGAAGTCAGGAATGGCATTCCACAGAAATAAACTAACAAAAGCACAATTTTTTGTTATTTCAGTTCCAGACTGACAAAAGATCTTTGCTTTCTGTAGGAGGAGGTAATCAATGTTGTGATCTATCATTGCTCTTTTACTAGCCACAATTAAAATGGCATTCCATTTTAATGTATGGTCATACTGTATGGTTTACAACCCACGCTTTCCATACCGTTCTAGTCCATTTATTTTTTTCCTCAAGTCAAAAACAAGTTGAGTATCAGTCCTCATTTCTCTTTTACTTGTTCTCCATTACCACCAAGGCATTATTATATAAAGCAAGATTGTGGGTGTTTGTATGTGATGGTATTAAACATAAAATACACAACTTGCATATCCAGTTCCTAGTTTCTTCTGCCCCATAAACACACTTGTCAGCCCCTTTGAATGGTGCAATTAAAAATAAAATAAAATAAAAATCCCACTGTATTTCAACTTTAAGTACTTTTTTTTTTCCTCCTTTTCAATGCATACCAAATTTTTTCTGGAGGGCTTACAGATATATTTTCAGTAGGCTGTCTGGGGCATCCTTTGTCAATAGCTTAGCAGTTACTTTAAACTTTTTGAAAGCTAAAACCAGGACAAGAACAAATAATATCTGAATAACAGTTAATTTGCGGGTCCAGTGTGATTCATAGAAAACAAACAAACAAACAAACAGAAAGTGAAGCACCAAACCAACACTTCCAAATCAGATTGCCTAAAAGAACATAAAATATGAAACAGTTTCTGTTGCCTTTACTCATGGTGAATAAAGTACTATTCTATTGCATTAATAAAATGAAGTTGGATACTGTTGAATGTAAGACAAGAGAATCTTAATTCCCTACATAAAGGGTGATGTAAACCTCAAAGCTATTGAGCATTTGTAGTTTTTGTGTCTCAAGAGTGGCTGAGAACTCAACTGAAGCTCAGCTGTTTTAAGACACGGACACATCCATTTTCAAGCTCAGCAAGAAATAAGAAACATACCAGAGTATGTGTAATTATTCTCTGGCAAACATTCGCAGACTACCTATTTGCAGCTGTTGATACATGTCGAAGCCTTGCACTGTTTCAGAAGAATTTAAAAAACAAACAAACAACAAAACAACAACCAAACCAACAACCAAAACAAACAAAAAAAACATGCAGCATTTTGTAAAGATTAGTATGAAATTTATTTAGGGTAAGAGGATATTTGCTGAAATACCAGAATACCAGCATTACTTATCATACCTCGTGCTCTCAGCTTTTAGTATCCCACTGCTTGGTCAATTATACATAAAGTCGTTTGTACAACACATTCATAATACTATTTCCTCCCAGTCCTTCTATTTATTATGCTTCTATTTAAAGCAACATCATGTTTAATTTTGTGGCAGTAAAGGTTTTTTTTTTTTTTTTTTTTTTTTATACATTCTGCTTACAAATGTTCCATCCTCTTACCTTAAAAATGTCTCCACAGGGGAAAATAAATCTGGATTTAAAATTTAATTTGGAACTATAAAATACAGAATAGTTATTTCTGTTTATAGCATGCTAAAAAAGGTAATGCAAGTAATACAAGTGTAAGCTACCAGTTATTGATGCCAGCTCTGTTTTAAAGCAATGGTAATAGCTTTTCCTCTCAGGAGGAGACAGTATTTCTGTTGTAAACTATAAATTGTATATATTATTTTACATTTTTTAATGCTGAGTTTTAGTCTTAGACATGTAGTTTGATATTTCTTAGTTGAAATATTTTCCCACTCATGTTCCACTTCCTTTTTACAGCATCTATCAATACAAATACATTTCAAGCTAAACTAGCATTAATATTAAAAGCAGGTTAAATTTCTTCCAGAACCTTTCTATCCAGGGGGAAAGTCTGACAAGGATGCACTCAGAAAGCTGTCACACCTACTGATGCCTTAAAGGGAATTCTAGCCAAAACAAAAAGTCAGTTACTCTGAGTTTATAGACAATGATTACACTTCAGAGTAAATTTTTGAGATCAGAATTAAGTTGTTAGAATTAAAGAACATTGAAGTACATGCATGAGAAAGAAAGGATTCAGTTATTAAATGTGCAAGAATCAATTCCTATGCTATGAAGCTTACCAACATTATACAAGAAATTACAGAGTAGTATGTCAAAAACATTCATAAAATGCAACTATATTTCCCTGACATTAAAAAACTGACTGATATAATTGTGGGTCACAGTCTGAGAATATTTCAGAAATCAGATTTCAGTGAAATTGAAAAGTAGCAGGAGAAATAAATCATGAAGTCCAACCCATTCCATAAATCTGTATTATAGATCTTCTGTGCTCTTAAGTATGTAAGAGAAATTAGATGTGAAGTATTTTAAATTATAACATGTAACCAAGCACTGCTAAAATGGTAGTGAAAGAGGAAAGGAGTAATGCAATGAACATTACAAAAGCAAAAAATTATGCATCCATAGACAAAAAACATACTATTAATAAAAGAACATACTATTAATAATTGTAGTGACCAAAGTTAGATTCTATATTTATGCAATATGTCCAGAAAGGTAGAAGAGAAAAGGTTTCACAGTTGTGCTTGATGTGGAGACTGAATGAATCTGAGTTCAATCTCTATGCTTTCCTGTGGGGGGTGAAGCAAACATACCTTAGACAGTGATGCCATATCAAAGTGAGATAGAATTTGAACTTACAGTTGATAACATACTCTGCAAGTACAACCATCCTCACACTCAAAGACTTTTCGCATGGGGAATCAGAGCTCAACAGCTAATGTGTTTTAAAATATACACCTGAGCCTCCTTACAGTAATTTCTCCTTGAAGACAAGCCTTAAGGGTGAACTTTTCCAGAAGCATTTACACCAGTCCTTAATAGATTAGTCCAATAGATGTCTGTCACAATAACTAGTAGCAAAGTTACGACAATCTAAAGTTTTTGAAACATTCCCCTCTTACATACCTTGTGGTCTTCAGAATTACACTTCTCACCTTGCAGTGGCATTGCAAAAGCAAAAACACATACCTTGAATGCCCAGGTGATGGAAAGGTGAAGATGTACCATAAAAGGGATTCCTTAAGATTGAGGTGTATTTCTACACTTGAACAGTAAGGAAATGTTAAATCACCAAACACATGTAGAAATATGTTCTTTTTTTTTTTTTTTTGGGGGGGGGGGGGGGGTGAGGGTGAAATTATGGAGATGACAAACTATCAGCCCCCTTGCTGAAAGATAAAAATGGTAAGGTTTTGAATACTAAAAAAAGTCATAGTTGCTAGAGAAACTGGGAGAAAATACACTGAAAAAAAAAATGTCAGGAAACCCTTATATACAAAAAATATATTATTTAGGTGACCTCCACCACCACACAATCCAACATATATCCCTTTTTCTTGAGTGAAATTTTTACAAGGCTCTTAGATTCCACTGATTATACAAGCAAAATAGTAGAAGGAAAAGAACAAGTAAAAAAAAAAAAAGCAATGGTTTACTTGACCTTTTGACAAAGTATTTCACTATTAGTTTAGGGGCAAAAAATAAAAGTGGATAAAAACTAGGTCAGAAACCTAAAGTGTAGGAATTCACAAGAAATTTTCATCATCCAGTTAATTCAGAACCTTGCACCACATAGCTCTTCAGAAAAAGACACAGGCTGAGAGTTTCAAAGGAGCCTAAGGGAGCTTCAGTTACTTATTCCTTTGAAATTTGAATTTCAAATTACGGATGGACACCTAGATCCTTCAAAGTTCTTGGAAAGTCCTACCCCTAGGATTCTTTATGAAACACTCAAAATCTCAATGAAAACTTCTGATGCATAGTATTGGACAAAGGCAAGCACACTATTAGTATGCAAAAGTTGAGAGAGAATGTCAGGATAATTTTAATGCATTAATTTAATGGTTCAAAGACTAGGAATAGTGCATTTCATTCTGCCTAATCTCTATTAAAAAAAAGGTGTAGTAGAAAGAAGGACTTCAGAGGTGACTAACAACAGAAGATTGCAGAATAAGTTGTTACTATAAGGAGACAAAAAATACACATCTTTTGATTTTCTCAGTTTGGACTTCAGTTGCTACGTTACACAAATGAACTGGCATTTGACTTGCAAGTGCAGGAAAAAATGCACTACAGTGACATAAGAAGGCAACAAAATTGAAACTGACAAAATGGAATTTACTTTCAGTCTGGGAGTGTCACTGCCACTGAATATTAGTGAAGACTTACTAACGCAAACAAGGAGGGAGGGAGGGGGAGAGGGAGGAACACAGGCCAACAAAGAAACAAAACATTTTAAATTATATTTCAATGTGCACTACTTACTGCCTTAAACAATCTATTATGAAAGAGTTCAAGAGCTCAAAGGATAACAATTCAATTTGAGAAATCTGCATTTCTGGGATCAGAATAACTAGTAGGTAGCTCACAGAAGACTGGTCTTCTGGGATAACTAGAGGGTAGCTCATATAAAATGAATAACAATTTACTAGTAATATATTTTTTCTGAATAAATTTCACACAAATAAAGAATAGATCATTTTAATAGCTTAGTATGCTTTTGTTTAGTTTATTGCATTCTATAGAAAGAACACTGGCTAATCTCCATTTTTGAATAAGTGATTTCTACTGTCAGAGCTTTTTGATTTTCACTAACTAGTAAAGATCAGGAACTGTACAATTAGAGCATATGGTCTTAAATTGATATTGAAAATACAAACAAAGTTGGCTCACTTACAGAAAACATAAAAAGGAAACCAGCATGAGAGACTGGCATCACATGACAGAGGAGAAAAGGCTGTAAAAAAAAAAAAAAAAAAAAAAAAAAAAGCAAGCTAGCAGAGAAAGTCAGGAACCCAGATTCATCTATGTATTGTAAATGCAAGTGCATGAAATAACATGATTAAGTAACAGCCTTTAATGACTTTGAAGATGTTACACTGTACAAAGATAAACTTAAGAGGTTCTATGATAATAAAGTTCATTTAATTTTGGCTTGTCAGTCACATTTCTAGACTTCTTACCACTCTTACTGATATCAAGACTCTGTTGCTCAAACAAGACTCTGTCCAGCTCAAACACAACACCAAAGCCTCTCCCCTGTTCTTTGCTTTACTTCTCCCCCTCCTCATCTAAAAGAGGGGGGGGTGAGAGAGCGGTTGTGGGGTTTAGCTACCCCGCATGGTAAAACTGTTTCTTTGGGGGAAAAATTGTTTTGTTTTTGTTTATTATTATTTCTCCCGTTCTTTTTTTTTTTTTAATTTAATATCATTTGCAAACTTTTCTGTGTAAAGACAGGCTTCCTGTTCCTGAGGCATTCGAAATAATGCTAACATCAGGTTGCACTGTTGAGAACAATTAAATACCCACTTAAATAATCCTTACATTTTTCCAGCTCTTCTGCTTGGATGGCATTAATTCTTGGGCAATTTGTAATCCATCAAATCACATGAAATTCTTCTGTGCAGGTGTGTTGGATAATCAGTGACTCCAGACCTGCAATTTGTACAGTTAATTATTTTTGTATGTTTCTACTTATACTTGTCCTATTAAATTGCAGCCTATTTTACTCAAACAATTTCTTGAATATACCAACAACATTTTAGCACCCAGTCCTGCCCTCCAGTATGCTTGCACCCTTCCTCATTTAGTGTCACCTATGTATTATCTCCTCCATCATCAGGACCATTAGTAAAATATATTTCATAGTGTTTTTCTAATGCTTAAAAATTAAGTAATCTAAAGTAACTTTCTGCCAATAAACACTGAACTGAACAGCACAAGTCTTATTCAAGACATATTAACAAGAAAGTGTAGGACTTAAGTACAAGACAGTCAATACGTGCCTAAATGCAGACAAAAAAAGACATCAATACATGCAGTGAATAAATTAAAATATAATTAGATGTGAAAGTAGACAATAACAATGAAGACCTTGAAAGACTAACCCATTTATCTCAATGTAGATGTTAATTTTAGATTAAGTAAAACTAAAACAAACCCACTAAAGAAACAAATCCAGGGCTCCATCCCTGAAGTTACAAGCCAACCTACTAGTTTAATTTAATGCCCAATGTCATTGCAGTAGAAAAGCCAGTGAGTTGATAAACTTGTCATATCCTCCTTCAATTTTCTTCTTCCGAGACTGAAAATTCCTAGTTCTACTTCCTCCTTGTCTGAAATATGTAATCATCCTTCACTTGAGGTGAGGTGCATCACTGTGATACTCCTTTGAACCATGACGTTTGCTACTTTGTTCTCTTCGTTTCTAAAAATTCCTAATATTCTTTTTTTTTTTTTTTGACTGCTACTGAGACTATTTTCATAGGTCAGAGTGAATATATATCTCTATGAATATACAATTTCGCAGTGAAGTTCTTGAACTGTAATTGTCAGTTTGAAGTCCATTCTTTGGGGGAAAAATTGTTTTGTTTTTGTTTATTATTATTTCTCCTGTTCTTTTTTTATTAATTTAATATCATTTGCAAATTTTTCTGTGTAAAGACAGGCTTCCTGTTCCTGATGCATTTGAAATAATGCTAGTTTTATATGTTTAATGAACTGTTTTTTTTTTTTTTTTTTTTTTTACTCTACCTTCTTGTTATTTTCTTTTCTATTATCCTTGACTAATGGAATATTGGATGTCTTCATTTGTTACATACCAATTGGTTGGTGCGTCTTTGTGAGGTTTAACCAAAATATATATATTTAGCACTTGAAGTCCAAGACCAAAACAAGCAGATGGTTCAAGATACCAGTACTTTGCCTGGGAGGTGCTAACTCGATCAAAGGGTGGCACACACCTATATTTAAACGTGTGCCTGTGTTTCAATACTGGGAGATACATATACCTTCAAAATACATATTAATAGTATACAATAATAGTACAATCCTAACAAAATACTGGCTTTATCTACCTATACAATATGCTGCACAAGCAATACATTTCATACTGTATGAATTTAGGACATAAATATGAACAATTATTTGTTGTTAATATCCTGTGTAGCAGGAGCAGTTCTGATCTGTTTAGCTGGAAACTACTTTAAAGACATGATACTTCCAAAAAAAGTCATTAGGATCTCATCCCAGAGAACCCTTCTAATTTTCTTGCAGTTGTTATTTATCCACCACAGAGATGTCAATGTAAAAGACAGCCAAAAACTTTGATTTAAATAATCTACAATTTGCTTGATATTTAACTTAATCAATCAATCAAAATTTCTTTCACAGAAAGAGGTTCAGCAAGGAATTTAACTGAAGGCAGATGAAGAAGGAACAGACCACAAGTTTGTGTATATGAAAGAAAACAAAGCAAAGGGATGTTCTAGATGAACAGGATATCATCTGTGCATTCTTTCCTAGCAGAATAAGGAAAGGGGTATTTTGTAGACTGAACGGGAAAATCTAATTCATATGTTGCTGAGGCCAATTTTTTTTATTATTATTATCAGCATGTGCCAACCATTATATTCTCTATTGCTTCTATGTGCAATTCAAAAGACACTGTCTAGTACTTTAGAGTCATTGTTTGATAGATTTACAAAGCCTTCAACTGAAACTGACTACTAGCATAAAAATGCAGAAATTAGACTTTGAAACTTTATATATAGTGAACATAAGTAAAGGACAAAGTCTACATGAAAGATTCAGAAATGTAACTTTCTTTGGGCTTCCAAAGTATGTTGTACTTTTTGCTCTGTAAACTATGCAAGTGTAAAGCAAGTTTGTCCTAATTTGTGGCTGGGTTTACCTAGTTCTAAAGAAGAAAATTGATAAAATATTCTGTCACAAAACATCTTCTGGAAAACTATATAAAAATCCCCACAGGGATATTTTTATTTCTCTCTCTCTCTCTCTTTTTTTTTTTTTTTTTTCTCCCCAGTTCTGGAGAAAGAAGACATTTTCTCTGGTTTTGAATATTTTTAAACCTTTTTAATTTTACTGCCGTTTCTACCTTTAAATGGAAACTTCTAATGATTTATTTACTTTCCCATTATAACAAAAACTGCCCAAATATTTTTGAAAATTTATTCTCCTTTATATTGCAAAGAAAATCACACCTGCAATGAATTTTTTCTCCCCTACATCCATGAAGCTTACTTGCTATAACAAAAACTTCACTGTTTCTTTAATAATGCCCTTATTTTTTCGTATGTAATGCATTTATTTGCTAAATGGTTTGTATTCCTACTTTGGTCCAGTAGAAAACTTCGTAGAATGTTCCAAATAAAAGGTGTGAACTGCAACAATTGGAATTAGTGAAATAACCCGTTTAATATAGTAATCACAGTTAAAGCTTGTTTAAAATGGTCATGTACCAAACTTAAGTAGGCTAATGCATAGAGATTTCAGATTCTTGAGAAAGTAAGGAGTACTGACTTTGTTTCTCCCCTCCTAAAATGGAAGAAAATGGTTTATAAACTGCTCTTACAATATTAGCAGTTTATGCCTTTTTCAAGAGGGCTGTGCAGTGTTTTAAAAAGCATGAACATAATACTGACTCCAAAAATAGGAAAAGTGCTTATTTGTTGGCACGTGACATTTTACATGTGTACAGTGGTAACCATTTTCAGCATGAGAAGAGTAACCTTAAAAAAAAATCTCTGTTGTAATGGACATTCGAAGCACAATCCACGAAAGACCATTTGGTAATTCACAACATACTTCTTGAAGATCAGTTGTCAGTATCTCAACTAACATTTACAACTACATTTTCACATACTCTAGCTACTCAAAAAAGGACTGAAGAGAGAAATCCAGTAAAGCTCTTTACCATGTTCTTCTATTTAAGAATACATTTCAACACACAAAAAACCATACTTAGGTCCTAAAGTGTTTCCCTACAGGATCTTGTTAATGTAGGTTTCATCCCTAACAAAGACAACAACACAAAATACATACCCTAATTATTTCGACATCATGCTGCATTTTCAGCAACAGATCTCCTATATCAATAATATTTTAACTAGATTGTTGTATCCTGCACTTGGACTTCATCAAATATAAACATTCAGTCTAATGCTAGTAGCTCTTTTTCAAATTCTATGGCAATTGCTCACTTGCTTAGATACTTACTTAACTGTGACAAATGAACATTCAGAACCAAAAAAAGGCTCAAACTAGTCATGTTGTATAAAGATTGAAGATTCAGAAATACACCTGTAACATTTCAAGACTTCATAGAGTTGGAAATGTCAGACAACATTTTCAGAAACTTCCAAAACATTTTAATGGTTCCTTTTTAAGTAACCAACTTCTAATATCAAGAAGTCCAAGTCTTCAGAAATGTAAGACATCTGCAAATTCAGTTAATGTTAATACAAGCAGAAAGGAACACATCACCTAAAAATAACTATGCCAAACATCTAAGAACAGAGTGCATAAAATTAATAAGTATTTTGATAATGTATGTTAAATATTTTTCAATGTAACAAAATATTCTCTCTCATATTATTTCATTTGAAAGTGAATATTTACTTATGTGTTTATCATCATCAGTACTTGTATTATTTTAATATGTCTACTCAGAATAGGAAAGCTAGTAGTACAGGTAGATATCGGAGGTAACAAACAGCTTAAGTTACCTGCATATTAAGGGTTTTCAACGTTACTGATGTTTCAATGTTACTGATGGAAAATGGGATGTAGTATGACAAATAAAAAGAATCACTTTAGTCCCATGCTGCAAGGACTCTCATTGACCTTTTAACTATTCCTATCCTAAATTTCTTAATTTTTAATGAGTGTCCTATAAATGGAGTAATTTATATTCTGAACCTGCAAGTGTTGCAAAAATTACTAAAAACGGGTCAGTTACAAAAACCTAAAAAATTTCAGTTCATTATTATTTGGTATTATTTAAACAGAATCCTCAAAAACTAATGTTTAATAAGAGACATGTATTTCAATAACAGAAATATTAGGCAGTGAAATGAAATACTATTTATTAAATAATAATAATAATAAATGAATTTGGTAATATTTGTGGGGATCCTATCACCCAAAAGATGGGTATTTTCAGTTGACTAAAAAATTACAAAAACTGGCATGAATATGAAGATACCACAATAATCAATATATGACAATTCTCTTCTGCCTGATAAACCCTTTCAAAACAGATTTAATTTCAGCCAGTTTTAGCAAGCTTAGCCTGGCTTGTATGAAAGAAGCCACACTGTGTTTCTCATGCAGAAACTACATTATTAATTGCAGCTGTAGTCTGTGCTAAAGATCACTACTTCAAAACCATATAAATTTCAGTTTTCAAGTTGAATTTCCTTCCATTAAACCCAAATGGAAACATTCAAATGTTTAACATAAATGTTATTTCATTAACATGTGTTTGATGAGCTTCAGTTAGGACGCTAATCCAGGCTTTGGGAGAAAAGTCAAGTACCTGATTCAAACCTGGAACTGGTTTTCCATTTTTAGATCATTCCCACTTCAGAAATAATTCTTATCTTTTATCCCACAGGCATTCCATCCTCCTCTCA